TGTCCCTCTAGGGTCTGGGCTCCTGCCAAGCAAAAAGGCAGTGGCAGGAAGGAGGTTGCTCCAGATGTCGAAAAGGCTTAGAGAATGGTTCACCAAGTTCATGAAGTTTCTACAAGAGGAGCCAATTGGCATCAGCTCCCTGAGCTGCCCACTTAAAGAAGCGGCTTACGGTATGAAACCATTTTTGTATATTCCATCAAAATCTAGGAAAACAGATTTCCTTTTTCAAAATGCAGAGAAACTGCGTTTAATTAATCCCTCCACTCTGCAGTCATTGTGAGTGCAGAGGGAGGGGGAGCCAGAAATCCACAAACTGCCAAGCCAGATTTCAGCTATAGCCAGGTTTTAGCTTGTCAAGGTCTTTTACAGACCTTTTTATGCCCTAGCCAATGAATGTCAGTTAGGCTGGAGAGAAAAGGAATTGGAGCTTTTCCACACCACGCATGGTCTGGAGTTGATCCCACCACACAGCACCCCTTGCAGAGGACTCTGCTGCACCTGCACCTGAGTGTTATTGGGGCTTGTGGTGTTCGTGGAAGTCACCACGCAGTTCTTGTCTGTAGAAACTGTTCAAAGTAACCACCTGAATTATTCCTGCCATACTGTTTCTTTGACCTTTTGTTTCTCTTAAGCATAATGTCAGCACTGATTTAAAATCAAGTGACTTCAACCAATGTAAAAATCCTGAGTTGCTTAAAAAAAAAGAAAGGCTGCCCCCAAAGTGACAGGCTTTCTGACCGGCCTGTGTCTTTGCACCTATTTCCCCAGGACACAGGCCCATGCTTTTCCCACACCCACTTCATTCTCCTCCACGTGCCTCATGTTCTAAGGACATCCTCCTCTCGACTGCATGTCTTAGCCTCCTTGGGCTGGGGAAGGCGGTCTCCCTTCGAGCTTCCTCAGTTCCACATACATTTCTTTCTCACAGAATGTCTGATGCTATATTGCATTTATTGGTTTTCTTGCTTCTCTCTCTAGTAAACAGGACATTCTTGGAAGTCCTGCTGGCACTTATTCAGTCCTCACACAATGCCTGGTGGATAAGTAACTCATTTTGAGATAGCAGATGAATTAGGCTGTCTACAAATGTGTCGGATCCAGCTCCCACCATCCTTGCTTGGCAAAGCAGAGCTGGTCAAGCCTGTGCACCCCCAGGCTGCCTCTGTGTCAAAGGGCAGAGCCTGTGCAGTGAGCTTCTGGCCACCTGGCTGCACACCGAGTGCTCATCAGCACATGGCCTGAGCGTTCTGCCCTGACGCTCCCAGGGTCTGGGCGCTTCTGTCTTTGACAACCTCCTGAACACTGTGGGAAGGCTCCCTAGCGCTCCGCTCCTTCCCTAATGTGCAGTGGGTGTGATTTGAGGGGTTTGGCCCCCACACCAGCTCCAGGGGTAAATGCCACTAGTTTGGGCAGTAGAATCTCACCCCCTGAGCGCAACGACGTTGATTTAGCAATGATCAGGGATCCCAGCCCACGCCAAGCCTTGCTGCAGCAATTCGCGGCTCTTGGGTTTGAGGGGAGGATACAGCATGTGTCCCACGGTGGGTCCACCCAGCGAAGCCAGGATTCCTCCTTGATGAGTTTGGAAAGAGTCTATATCTCGTTCGGGAGGGTGTGATGCCTGAGGCTGGAACCACGAGGGACACCAGCTTGAGAACAAAGTCAAACCAGGGGGTTAGGCAGAGGAGGCGAGGCCTGAGTCCCGAGCAAACACGCCGGATCCCAGGAGCCCCGCGACTGCTGCTCTCGGCTGACTCGGGACAAAGCATCCAGACGCGTCTCGGCCCTGCGTCCAAGACGCAAAACTGTGCGGCAACCAAGCCTAGAGCTAAGCAGTCACCAGCAGTGGAGACAAAGGCAGTGACAGGATGGGAGCAAAAACGCGAATCCGAGAACGAGGCCACGATCGCAAAGCCTGGCGTTGGGCAAAAGATTCCGGGCCTCTGCTGCCCCCTGGCGGACGCCGCGCGGGAGCCCGGACCCAAGCGCGCCGCGCGAAGCAGGTGTGCGGCCCCGGGAAGTCACTGAACACGGCCTGCGGAAGATTTCTCCTGTGTCACGCAGCGGGAGGAGCAGTCCCTACCTGCTACATTGCCGTGAGGCTGAAAGGGCCGAAACGGATAACCCGGGCCAGAGCTGTCCTCCCGCCTGAAAGAAGTCGGGGGAAACCCACAAAACTCTGGCAACAACCGTTTTCAAAACCCGGCACACCAGATGCAGAGGACAGTGATCCCTACTGCAGAGCGAGCTTCGGCCACAGCACAGGGCGCGTGGGGACACGGGCGGGGCTGGACCCACGGGCTCAAACCCACGTTGAGGGACTAAGCCGAGTCCGCAGGGCAGGCACGGCGTCCCTGGAGGAAGAGGGGGCTGCACAGACACAGCTCCAGCGATCCGCAAAGGCTGCTCGGCACGGGCGGGCGAGGAAGCCGCCAGAGGCCCAGAGAGACCCCAGTGGGGCTACAGAGGGAAGACCAGCCCGTCCGTGTTCACCCAGGGCGGGAAGGCGCCTCCTCCGTCAGCAGGACTGCAGGCTCAGCTCTCCCGAGGCACCCGCAGCCCTGCTTCAGAGGTGGGAGCAGTTACTACAAAACGCAGCTCTAACCCCACATGAGAAACGCCAAAGGCAGGGCCGGAAAGTATCAGACTGTTACAAAGTAACCGTATCCCGGAACAAAGCCCAGAACTACATACAGGAAAACAAAGGTATCCAGCACACCACACGAAAAATGTGACAGTGTCTACCAACCAGTAAAAAATGACCATGCATGAAGTGAGGCAGAAACAAACGACCCATAATGAAGAGAAAATGCAATCAATGGATGGAGTGCCAGGACACGTGTCAAAATTGGGGGAATTTGGCTAAAGCAATACTTAGAGGGAAAATGACAGCACTACACTAGGCTAGAAAAGGAAAAGGGATCTCAAATCTCAGCTTCCACCTTAAGAGCAAATTAAACCCAAAGTAAGAAGAAAGGAAACGAGAAAGATCAGCGCATAGGCCGGGCTCAGTGGGTCACGCCTGTAATTGCAGCACTTTGGGAGGCTGAGACCGGCAAACTACTTGAGGTCATAAGTTTGAGACCGTCCTGGAACGTGTTGAAACCCGGTCTCTACTAAAAATACAAATTTTAGCTGGGCCAACAGCCAGCTCTGATGAGCGCCTATAATCCCAGCTACTCAGGAGGCTGAGGCAGGAGAATCACTTGAACCCAGGAGGTAGAGGCTACAGTGAGCCGAGATGACACCACTGCACTCCAGCCAGGGCGACAGTAGGAGACGAAGGGAGGAAGGAGAGGCAAAAAAAGAGAAAGGACTCAAATTACTAACATCAGGAATGGGAATCGTGATATCTATTGCTACATTCCACAGACGTTAAAAAGAAAATTAAGAGGGTATTATGATAAACTGAAGGTGAATACGTATGACAAATTGAATATAATAGACCAATGCCTTGAAAAACACTATCAGCACTTAAGAGTAAACAGATATTCCGAATTAGCTTTATGTCTATTTTTTACATTAAATTTGTACTTTAAAATCTTCCCACACGGAAACCTCCACACCCAGATGACTTTATTACCTAACTTAGGAAGAATTAAGACCAACTTCATACACACTCGCAAAAAACTGTAAAAGAATACTTCTCAAATTGTTTTACCCTGGTACCATGACCAAAGATATTACAAAAAAAGAAAACTATAGACTAATATCTCTATGAATATGAGTGGGAATTTTGTGTACGTGTGTGTATATACACACACATACACACACACACACACACACACACACACACATATATACACTTAATTTTTATTTATTTTTGTTTTGAGATGGAGTTTTGCTCTTGTCCCCCAGGCCAAAGTGCAATGTCATGATCGCAGCTCACTGCAACCTCTGCCTCCCAGGTTCAAGCAATTCACTTGCCTCAGCCTCCTGAGTAGCTGGGATTACACGTGTGCCACCTCGCCCAGCTAATTTTTGTATTTTTAGTAAAGATGAGGTTTCACCATGTTGACCAGGCTGATCTCAAACTCCTAACCTCAAGTGATCCGCCTGCCTCGGCCTCCCAAAGTGCTAGGATTACAGATGAGAGCCACTGCACCCAGCATCTATATATACACTTTATACCAAAATACACTTTAAACAAAATTTCAGCAAAGAAAATCAAATCCAACAGTATGAAATATCATGACCAAATGGGTTAAGGCTGATTTATAATTTGAAAACCAATTAATGTGATGCAACAAAAAAAGAAAAGCCACATAAGTGTCACGATAGAGACAGTAAAAGCATTTTAGAAAATCTAACATCCATTCTGGATATAAACTTTCTCAACAAACGAGGATTAGAGGGAACCTCCTCAACCTGATACATGGCCTCTACAAAACCTTCTGTTACATTATGATTAATACTGAAAGACTGAATGCTTCTCCCCTGAGCTGAAGAACAAGACAAAGGTATGTACTCTTACAAGTTCTTTTCAAAAATTTTCAACATTTTCTAGCAAATGTAATACAGTAAGAGAAAGAAATAAAAGGCATTGAGATTAGAAGAGAGAAGTAAAGTTGTCTTTATTCTTAGACAACATGATTTTCTATGTTGAAAATTCAATGTAGCCTGCACAAAATGATAGTAGAATTAATAAGTGAGTTTAACAAGGTTACAAGATAGAGGATCAATATACAAAAACCAAATTTTTATATTTTCACTAACAATGACAATCAGAAGTTAAAATTTAAATCCAGTATCATTTAAAAATGGCATCAAAAATATGAAATACTTAGGGATACATTTAACAAATGATTTGAATGGATGCACACTGAAAACCATAAAACATTGGTCAGAAAAAGTTTTAAAGAACTCAAAAAACGGAAGACACATTGCATTCACGGATCAGGCCAAGAGTTCAAGACCAGCCTGGGCAAGATGGTGAAACCCCATCTCTACAAAAAATTCAAAAAAAATTCAAAATCTTTACTGGGCATGGTAACACATACCTGTGACAACTACTCAGGAGGCTGAAGGTGGAAGATCGCTTGATCCCAGGAGGTTCAGGCTGCAAGGTGCTATGATTACACCACTGCATGCTAGCCTAGGCAGCAGAGTGAGACCCTGTCTCTAAAAGAAAAAAAATGAACCAAAGTTACTAAGGCTTTGCTTGTGTGACTTTAATAAAGCTTCTAGGTAGCACATCTCAGGTGCCAATTTCTGTCAGGCTTATTGTAGGGGGTCCGTGAATAATAGTTATTAAGGTTTCGGCTTGTCACTCCCCAAACTGGAGGCTGCCAGAAAGATATTGCTGGTAACTGGGAGTCCTAGGTAACTGTTTTCTCTGGCAAATCTGTGATCTGTTATAACACAGTAGAGATAACATGTTTAACTGTAATCAATATAGCAACATTATTATTTGAGCAATGCACTAAGTTGCTGATCGTCATGCTATCAAGACCAGGAAGACAATATTCTGTTAACAGTGGGTCTCAGAGTTTAGCATGAATAGGAAGACCCTGGCGGGCTTGTTAAAGCACGAGTTGCCAGGCCCCAGCCCCAGAGCTTCTGATCGGGTAAAGCAGGGCTGACCCTGTGAGAGTTTCCCGAGATGCTGATGGTGCTGGGCCAGGGTCACACTTTGAAAACCCCCTGAATGACATCATCGCTACATTGCTATAAGTGATTACACTGAAGTATCGTAAACCATCATCACACAATATGTTTCTAATCTACAGTTCAAATTGTTTCTAAAAAAACAATTTGAAAATTTTTTGAACACCTACATTTTCAACAAGAACTTTATTTTTAACCCAGGAAAATGTCTACCCAGCCCTAAGCTTCTCATAAGATGATAATAAAATGTTGTCTCAGAAGACTGTAACAACAAGTTGTAATCACATACCTTCAATCAGTATTCCAAAGTAACAGAGACACTTCATTCACGGAATTAAGAGTTGGCCACCTGGGTTGGACAAGGTCACAATTCTCAGTTTGTACAGCTGATCAGAGCCAGATCTCCTGATTCCTAGTACATCTCTCCCTCAGGCCTCACTAATCACCTCCAAAAACGGGAGAGTTCACTTGTGCTCCCTCCAAAGTTGCCAGAGGGAGTAGATTTCTTCTACTCAGGGTTTACATATCTGGACTCAATTGGATGCAGAACATTGAGACAGGTAGTGCTTTAAATGGTCTGCCCTGTAAGGCAGGAGTGTGGGTGAGGGAGTCAGCACTGGAGGGCGCTGGGTGGAAGTTTCATAGGGAAGATTCAGATTGCAGACTGGACACGTCACTCCTCACACACTGTGAACTTCTACAAGACCCTGAATTACAGACCACATTGCTGGGACAAAGCCTAAAAGAAAGAAACAAACTTTAAAGAAATATAGGAAGGTATCTTTGTTACTATAATGAGTATGGATATCTGTTTTAAAAACAATACTCACTGAGCCCATACATCTTACTTGCAGAAATCCAAAGCTGTGTTTTCAAAGCTATTTCAGGGTTTCAGAAGATAAATAAATCAAAGGTCTCTCCACCTTCGACAAAACTGTTCCAACTCGGATTAATCTGGAACTGAATGTCACACTGAATCCTGCCAAGGCTCAGCAGGGCCCCAGGCAGGAATGGTTTACATTCCATCCAGAAAAGCAGCTTTGGGTCCTGGAGGAACCAGTGGTTTCAATGCCGCCCTGACAGGGGTAGCTGGATGGGAATGTTCCCCTAGGTAGGCTCAGGTGTCACAAGGGAGATGAGGGTCACCCAGTTGGAGTCCTAAAAGCCCCGCTTATCTCTCAGTCACTGTGACTGCTAGAAATGCCAGAAGTTTGTGCAACGAAATAAATTTATATGTATTCCCTGTGAAGCTGTGATTCCTAACACAACCCAAAGGTCAGAGCTGAGACTCAGTCCCTATTCTTGGAGTTAGTGGACATGACCTTCAACTTGAAGCCAGAAGAACTGAGTTTAAGACCAGGCTCTGCCCGCTTTGAGTTGAGCAAGTCAATTGGCCCCTCTGACTCTTCAGTTCACCATCAGTAAGTGAGGCTAGATTCTCATCCCTGTGTACCCCACAGGGGACCCTTCGCCAAGTTATTAAGGTGCAGGTCCCCCCATTGTTAACACTTACAGGTCATGCAGATCAAAGACGACTTAGACCGAACTTTGGGTTTTATAGAGTATGTCACAAAAGCATAAAGTACAATACGGCATAAAGTACTCAGCACCCTTCCCCGCCTCACCGTCAGTGGAAGCCTGGTCCTGAATTGTTAGTGGTGTTCAAGACGCTAAGGAGACTCACCCGGTACTTCAGGGGTCCAGGTGTAGAGTTACAAAAGGAAGTAGGGGGGAAGTGGTCACGAAAGAGGGCCTGCCAGAGCTTTTAGGGGAGGCCAAAAGAGAGACTGTAGCCCATGAAAGGGTAAGGAGAAGGCAGTGCTGACTAGGACAGCAATGCACATGCATAAGGATTTTTGGAAATCTTTTGCTGTATGTCACATCCCCAAAATGCCAGCCGGTCAAAGACTTAATTAAAGTCTTGTGTTATCTTAAAATGCTTTTGGAGTAGAAATTACATTTCTCTTGATGCATCACAGTGCCAACACTAGAGTGTAAGGCTGAGGCTGACAGGCCTAGATAGCTTTGGGTTGCATATGCTTAAATTAAGAGTCAGCACATTTTAGGATGAAGCTTAGGGCATACATATATGCACAGTAATAATCATGAAACAATTCCCAGCATCTCTACAGACTCCATCATTTTTGAAATGTTTTCTCATGTTAATGCAAGTCTATTCTATGCGTTAGGCAAAGCATAGACTTTGCTCTCCTGCAGAAATGGATATTGAATGCAGAGGCCACTTTTCCTAAGCAGAGTAACCAAAAGAATTCTATGACCTGGCCAGGCGCAGTGGCTCATTCCTGTAATCCCAGCACTTTGGGAGGCCAAGGCAGATGAATCATGAGGTCAGGAGATCAAGAACATCCTGGCCAACATGGTGAAACCCTGTCTTTACTAAAAATAAAATAAAAAAAAATTAGCTGGGCATGGTGGCACACACCTGTGGTCCCAGCTACTTGGGAGGCTGAGGCAGGAGAATTGCTTGAACCCAGGAGGCAGAGATCTCAGTGAGCCGAGATGGCACCACTGCACTGCAGCCTGGGTGACAGTGCGAGCCTCTGTCTCAAAAACACAAAAGAATAGAAAAGAATTCCATGTCCAATTAGAGCAGGATAAGGAAAGCTGTGACATGTTTCATTAATTAGAAAATGCTGGATCCTCCTGCCTACCTGAGGTAAGGATGAACTTTGACCTCAGAGCCTACACTATGGCAGTGTTTATGCAGTGACATAGTCCCATATAGACAAATAAATATGGTTGTCTTTATACACGTGTGTACGCTAGCACGCACACACACACACACACACACATCATATTTCTCACTTAGCTAGACACAGCCCCCTCTTGAGGGTAGAGAGTGGTCCTGTCTTACGAGTTCAGCTCTTTCAGTGCCCTGGGGTGACCGGTAAGTGTTGGTGGTGGAGAGACTGGCGGCGCTAAGGAGAATGGGCCCATCTGTGTTCCTGGACTGTTAGCGGGAAACAGAAGCTATCATAAGATGGGTCACCCATCTTTGTGACTGAGTGAGTTGGGGTTGGGGGCAGCTTTTGAGCGTTCATCACAGCTCTAAAGACAAGGCCTGGTCCACCTCTAGTCTAGGCTCTGTACCACGCTCTTGCCAGCACCTCCCTCCCCACTCCCCAGTGAATGAGGTTCTTCTCGTTACCTGAAGGCACTACGCTCCCTTCTCATACGCATGCACTTGTGACAAGTCTACACACCAGCTCTGGGCCTCGATCCCCCCATGGCAGCCCAGTTCATCTACAGGTCTCCCTTGTGTTTCTCACTGTGCCTGGCAAGTGAGAAACCACAACAGCGCACATGGCTGTAAAGGCAACGTGGTTACCACAGGGGAGGTGCATGAGAGTCCAGGAAGGAAGACACCGAAGCCAGAGGAGGTGGGCCAAGGCCTGACCTGACAGGGGAACCAGTGTAAACAGCAGCCTTCTTCCCAGGACAATACCTAGAAGATGCCCATTATGTGGCCAGCTCTGCTCACCCCCTTACAGTGAGGGCACCATGAAACAAGAGTAAGAGAATCAATAGGCAGAACTAACCCCACACACACACCGAGCAGACCATGCTTGAAATGTGACCAATAAAAACACAGCGGCCTCCCAGGTCTACCAAGCCAAGTCACTGCTGCAGCACGGACCAGTAAAGCAACAACCTACCGGGTCTGGGGCCCCTTCAGCTTTCCAGGTTTGCTGAGGGGGCTGGTTCCTTTCACACCTCCTGCATCCCCCAGCCTGCTCCAGCAACACAGTGTCCAAAAGCTCAACATCTATCAGTTCAATCCATGGTCCTCTTCTCAATGGAAAGACTTCTGATCTCATCGCCCCCTCCAGCAGGGCTGGCTCTGGTCTCCAGGGCTCCAGCACCCTGCACTGAGCGAGAACTGCAGGAGAAATGCTCCTCATGAGCTTCCATGTAGCCAGTCCAGATTCCTTCAAGGGCAGGTGGGAAGTTTGCATTTCCCAGGCTCCTTCCAAAAGGAAGGAAAACCTAGCAATTCTCATGCATCAGAGCAACAGTAAATCCGAGCAGACAGGACTTCACTCCTCTCTCACTGTGAGGTTCTGCAAGTCCCTGAATTATAGCCCAAATTCCTGGGAAGGAGCTTAAAAGGAAAAAAACAAACTTCAAAAAAATACAGAAGGTGGTTTTGTTACTGTAATTATTATGGATATCTGTTGTACAAATAATGCACACTGTGTTCATATATCTTACTTGCAGAAATCCAAAACTATATTCACCTAAGCCACACTGACAGATGAATTATTTGTAAGAGACCAAATTATTTCATCAAAGTAACAGGGTAACTTTCAAATGCTAATTTATTTGTGGGGCTGGGCCAAGAGCAAGAAAACACCTAAATGAGAATTCAGATTCATCTGAACTTGACATTTTCAGTTGATCTAATGGCTCATTCGTTCAGTGGACTGAAGTTCAGTCCACTGACTCTTCAATGGCTTCCAATTAGGAGACAAGCAGAGAATTCCTGGTCCTGTGGTTTGTGATCCAAGTGCCTTCCTAGATGGTTATGGGCTATCCAAGTGGAATACTGGAAAGTGGAGACAGGCCTGGAAAGGAGATGAAAGACAGTAGGGAGAGTGACTATAGTTAACAACAATGTATCCTTTCCTTCCTCCTTCCTCCTTTCTTCCTTCCTTTCTTTGATGAGACAGAGTCTCACCCTTTGTTCCAAGGTGGAGTGCAGTGGCGCCCTCTCAACTCACTGCAACCTCTGCCTCCTGGGCTAAAGTGATTCTCCTGCCTCAGCCTCCCAAGTAGGCTGCCACACCATGCCCAGTTAATTTTTGTATTTTCTTTTTAGTAAAGATGGGGTTTCACCATGTTAGCCAGGCTGGTCTCAAACTTCTGACCTCAGGCAATCCGCCCACCTTGGCCTCCCAAAGTGCTAGGATTACAGGCATGAACCACCACGCCCAGTCTGTATAGCTCAAAATAGCTAGAAGAGAGGACCTGAAATGTTCCTAACAGAGAAATGATAAATACTCCAGGTGATGGACACCTCAATACCCTGACCTGAACGTTACATGTTCCAGGCATGTAACAAAATTTCACGTGTACCTCATAGATATGTACAAATATGTATCAATTTTTAAAATTCTAAATAATTTTGTTAAGAAGCGTGCTAGAAACCCAAAATTAGATACTGCACAGCAAGGTTTGAATTAAGGACAGTGCTGGAAAACAGAACCACCCCTGTGGCCATGCCTCTCATCCAGGTCAGGGACCCATTCCTGCAGTCAACACCTCGGAAGGCGCGCAACCTGGGACGGCAGCCTGGGGAGGGGGAAAGGCCCTTTGGAGGTGGAGGGGAGGCCGTCACGCTGCACACCCAAAGGCAGAGATGAGGCGTTGAGGAATCCGAGAGGGAAAGTCCCCGAAAGAGACGCAGCCGCGCTCTGCCAGTGCGCATGCGCATATGTCGGTGAAGCCCCGCGCTGGGGTTGGATCTGCCTCCCTTCGCCTCGCTGAGCCGCAGGAAGATCGGCATTCAGACAGACAGATACACAGTCTGGAAGAAAGCGAACTGCTTTGCAAGTGAAGGGGAGCGGAACGTGCCACCCCAAAATCTGCCACTTTGGCATAAGGATTAAGTGGCGCTGCAGGCAATGGAGAAGAAGCAGACACAAGAGAAGCTCTCTTCCCTCCCCTATTTGCCGAAAAGCAAGACAGAATTTGTCAAGGTGTCCCCCCCCGCCGCTCTAGGAAAGGATGTGGTTAATCACCAGACACAACCCGAGCCCCTCCTCAGCCTGCAGAGGGCACCAGAGGAACCTGCACAGCATGTCCTGGTCCCGCTGAGGCAGCGCTTCCCTTCCCGCAGCTCCCATAGGGTAGGGTGGCCTTCCCGCCCTGCGCCTTCCCAGAAACTCAGGCCCTTCTCCTCTATCTTGTCACTTCTCTAAACACGCATTCTCTTGTGAGGTGATATGAACGCTCGAGCTCTGGCCGCCCCTTTGAGTTACTGCTCACGTTCCCACGAGTGTGCGTGATGCACGTGGCAATAAACTCGTGTCTGGTTGTCTCTTCTTAATCTGCCTCTGTCAGTCTCTTTCAGAGCCCCAGCCAGAGAACCTAGAGGGGTAAAGGAAAAAGATTTTCTTCTCCCTAGAGAAGCAGACAGACCTGTGCTCGAATCCCAGGCATGCTGGGTGCTGGCTGGGTGCTGCTGGTGGAGCCTCTTTCTCCCTGTGTTCAACTGTCCTCATCAGCAAGGCAAAGGCAGCCACACCGCCTGGAACAAGCCAGCTTTCCACAGGCTCAGCTGTTTGCATCCTCTCCCTGTATCTCCCTCACCTCTGAGGCTGTCTTGGGGTGCTGCCGCCCTGTGGGTACCTGGAACACTTCAGCCTCATTCCTCCCACTCCTCCTGCCAAGGGTGGCTTCAGGGGGTCATCAGTAGAGAATTTTTTCCCACACATTCCGAACCCCCAAATTCCCCATGCAAAGCTTCCAGGACTGCTCTGCTGGGCTCAAGGGACTTCCCCAGAACCACCTCTCACCCAGAACCACCTCCCAACCGGGACCACCTCCCAACCAGGACCACCTCCTACCCTCCACTTCAGACCTTCTCATGCCTGCTGAGTTTCCTGGGGTCTATCCACAACCTCAAATCTAAAGTCTCCCCTTTTCTGCACTCTACTCCCTTCTTTCTTTCCTCCCTCCCTCTCTCTTTTCTTTCCTTCGTTTTTTATTTATCTTACCTCCCCACCCCCCAGCCTTCCCTCTCCAGTCTAACACTCACTCATGAGCACGACCTTCCTATCTGATTGCATCTTACTCCCAAAGACCCTGCCCATTGCCTGGTTCTCCTCTCAAATCCTTTGCCCTGGATCCTG